AGGAGCAGAGATCCCTGAAACCATGAAGGGTGAAGAGTGAACCCTGTCCAGGAAGGCAGTGAAACTAGGGATGGAAGCAGAGATGATGACGAGGGCAGAAGGAGCAGCCGGGGACTCTGGACTCAGGGAGGGAGAGGGGTTCTGTGCTGGCGGCTGGGGGCAGGCGTGTGGGGTGTACCCTTTGGGTGTTTGATGATGTATGCCGGAGATTGTGATCATTGCAATGAAACAAAGTATGATAGTATGAATGTAAAGAGAATTTTCACCATGTAAACTAACACATAATTCACAATAAAAACTTAAAAAAAAAAGGAGCCTAGTAGTTCAGTGGGTTGGGTTAAGTGTTGGGCTGCTAACCACAAGATTAGTGGTTCAAATTCACCAATTGCTCTGCAAGAGCAAATGAGGATGTCTGCTCATATGAAGACTGAGTCTTGGAACCTTATGGAGCAGTTCTACTCTATCCTGTCGGGTCACTAGGAGTTGAAACAAACTCGGTAACAATGGCCTTTCCGTAAATAAATCACTGCTCCAATATTTCTCATAACCACGAACTCTTCTCACTATTATTTGGAATTTACCTTCTGTACACAACAATGCATTCGTTAAAGCAAGGTTTAATATCCAGATTGTTGTGTCCCTGGTATATGTCTAGGGTGTAGGGTGTCTCCCAATATTAATTATCAAAAATAAAGAAATTCTATAGCTCACTCTCCTTAAAGGAATCAGAGGTTCCAGACAAGCAGAGCAGGGACTTTAGAGTCAGACCTGATTTGGCTTCTCCATCATTTATTATGTGACCTTAGAGAAATTACTCAGCTTCTCCATTTTTTAACATCACCTGACAATCAATATGGGTAATATGCTGTTGTTGTTGTGAAGTGCCATTAAGTTCGACCCATAGTGACCTTGTATAGGGTTCCCAAGGAGCAGCTGGTGAGCTTGAACCATCAACCTTGCAGTTCAAATGACTTTGCAGTCTGACGCATTAACCCACCAGCACCACACCAGGACTCTATGAGTCCTCTCAAATAAGGCTATGGTGATAATTTCTGCTGGGAATATGACTGTTCAGAATAACCATTACTATTAGAGGAATACAACATGAATACAACTCTAACCACTGTAGTTCTTGACAACTACAGTGATTGATGCTATTTGTCTAGAGAGTAAACACTTGCCAACGGTTTCCTTTTTCTTTGGTTTTGCTTTAAAGAAGGCTAACTTGTTACAAAACCGTGTACAAAACAAAATTTCAGTACAGATAGGCAAAGAGGGAATTAAAAATACTTATAATACCAACATCAAGACAGTATAATTAAGATATAATCAGAATCTTTAAGTATATCCTCTTCTGGGGTTTCAGCCTTCATGGAAACTTCATACACATCTTGAAAGACAATGTACCCATTTAGTGATGGTTCACTCCATAATGAGTACGGCATTCATATTAGATTCAAACACTATTAGTGCTTTCAAAGAAATAAATTTAATGTTTTGATTTAGACTTATATGAAATTATATAGGAGTACTGGTGGCATCATAGTTAAGCACTCACATGCTAACTGAAACAGTTGGCGGTTTGAATCCACCAGCAGCTATACGCAGGAGAAAGGTGTGGTAATCTGCTTCCACAAAGATCACAGCCTAGGAAAGCATCTGAGGTTACTCTGTCCTATAGTGTTGCTAAGTTAGAATCAATGTGACAGCAATAGGTTACAGAAATTATTAAAATGGTCCTGATATTTGATTCTATATTATTAATTTTCTTACATTTATATTCAAGTAATTTCAAAAAGAATATACATAAAGTTTTATAATATGCAACTAAAAGCTGCAAGATCTCTAAATAAATCATTTATTTTTACAAGCTTTTCAATTATCAGATAGACCACATACCCAACACTCTTACCTCGTCATCTGAGTAGCTGTAGGCAGATGATACAGCTACCCACACCTTACTGGCTACTGTCGCTGCTTGCTTCATACCAGACTTCAGGACATCGATCTTAGGTCCTGAGAGTATGTTATCCAGCTTTAGCCCTGACAGAGAATTCACTACAGAACCCAATGATCCATGTGGTGAGGAACGCACCAATGTTGATAAAGAAGTGGAACGCTCTTTATTAGATCGAGAGGTAGTTTGCTGCTTGAAACGCCCAGTAAAAGTTTTAGACCTGGACACTGCAAGAGAGCTCTCTTCGCTTTCAGGATTTTCCTGTGCTGGCAGACCAGGATCTAAAGGTAGGCTTGATCTTCTCTCTAAAGGGTGAATAAATGAGGTGGGAGTGGCAGGCTCCTTGCTTCCCTCTCCATGTAGTTCCATACTGGAAGACTTGTTACCTAGGGGACTTTTCAGGTTCATATAGCTTTCAATTTCATCAGCTAGATTACGTGCAATGACTGGAGAAAACATTTTATCTTCAGAATCAGGAGTTTTTTCTCCTGTACCTTCAGTGGCTAAAAGAGACAAAGGATCTAGCCCAGCTTCAACATCTTCCCTTTCAACAGCTTTAGCAACACCACAAAAACTATTTCTCTTATTTACTGGGTCTTTGGACTCTGTTTTCAAGACTCTACACCGATCACCACTGTTATCCTTTTGTCGACCATCACATACATCCTTTATCATGGTAGTTTTCGCTACGCTATCATCAAGCACAGGCTCTAGGAGCTCTTGGCTCTCCTCAAGTATCTCTAACACCGGAGATGTTCTATGCTCTGACTCCCAAGTGCTTTCACCCACACGAGTCCTAGTATCAGCAAGGTACTCAGAGTTGTGGGGTTTTGAAATAGGAAGTGGAGAAGTCTTAGGACACGTCAGTGCCGCTGTCAGAATCTTGGCATCTGCTCCCATCATGATGGCCACCTCACTGGAATTCAAATCCAAGCTGCTTTTCTTACGTAACATTCCTAATCGACTTTCAGAGCTAAAACTACAACTTCTCTCTGGAAAATGCTTTTGCCTTTTTTCTCCTCTCTCATTATTCTTCTTAAGATTAGTAGCTTCACCACACATGGCATCTTCAGTGGGGTCCTGAGTAGAAAACAGGACATTCGATGTACTACCTAAAATAGGAAGTACAATACTAAAAATTAGTCTTTAATTTTTAAATGTAACTTTTCTAAAAAACATTTGTGTTTCTAATTATAAAAGTGACACATGCTCCAAAAAAAAAAAATCTGAAAATACATTTAGAAAAAGGATCATAAAGTAAATGTTGCAGGTATAAATGCTATTCACAAACATACACATTTATCAATAAATATGTTGTTACGTGATGCTGAGTCGGTTCCAACCCAAAGCAACCCTGTATAGGGTTTCCAAGGAGCAGATGGTAAGCCTGAACAGCCAATCCTGTGGTTCAAACTCAATTTTACAGTCCAGCGCATTAACCCACAGTGTCACACCAGGACTCCATCAATAAATATAGGACTATAAATATTTCTTACATGTAAAATTATTTTTATTTTCTACATTTTAAGGGTCTTACTTTCAATTTAAAAGGTATATTCTCAGTTAAGAAGTAAACCTCAAAAGAAATTACAATCTCTTTATTTTTAGCTTTCATGTATTCAATTAAACAAATATTTACCAGGAATGTACAATCATGGAGGAGAAATTATTTGCTCTAACCAAACCTGACTGTTTCAAAGTAAAAGAAGTGCCTCAAAATAAAAATATCCAAATCCAATGGTTAAAATTGTCAAATTCCAAGATAGCTGATAAAAAAAATTGAGCAGTTAAAAAAATTTCAGATATATTCATTCCTTCAATAAATATTTGAATGCCTACTAGCACCCAATGTATGAGATGGTAGGAATACAATGGTACATAGAGCAGACATAGTCTCTGCCCTCACAGAAGTTATAGTCTTATATGTTCAAATGGCACAAAACATGCCAGCAGCTATGGGAACCTTCCCTGCTTTGGGAAATGTATGCAGTCTTTTATTCTTTGCTACTGTGCAATTTTTTTACTCCAAGATAAAAGGCTACTTCCTATTTGAAGCATTATTCAAACACAAGTCTACCCATTCCTGTGTACGAATAATACTTATTTTTTAAAAAGCACAATGACCTTGTAACCATTCCAGCTTTTGCCAATACTAAAGAGAAACTATACAGATTTTTCTATCTGTTTCTTTCCTTACAAATTGATTATTGATTTATTGTGTCTGATTAACCTTATTATAAGCTGTACATCACAAGGTCTTTTTTAAATCTTTCAAACTGGCATCATCTAATAATTATACCAATTAAATAAAACTAATAATATATATTTAAAGATATTTTATAGCTTTATGGGGAAATTAGTCTATTTTATAACTCCAAAACTTGTACCTGCTTTGAAGTCTTTTTTATCAAAATTTGAGAAACAGATCTTTGCAAATATTAATGAATAAATCTCACAGTATTGCCAAGAATTTGCTGGTACCTTATGTTCAATCTTATAATTAATCTGACTGATGTACTGATAAAAGCCCCATTACTGTATCGCCTTTTCCAAATGGAACACCTTTCTAGGGCAAGATACAATATGGAATCAAATGGATAAGAAGGGAAGTGAACATGTCAGTCCTTAGACCATTTCCACTACAATACTCTTAGAAGATTTAAAAACTTTGACAATAAGAAAGTACTGTCCTCCTCTTTGTTTCCTTTTTCCTAATTGCTTGGGAAAATGGGATCTAGAATATATGTTATTCTCCTCCCAAAAAAACCTTTAGACTTACCCTTTGAGCTCCACTCTAAAACACGTTATAAACTCAACTTCCTATCAAGTAGAAATACATACATAGATACATGCCTTAAGAGGATCTGACTGACATAGAACATGACTGAGAAAGCTGAGGCTGGCTGTGCCCATAAAGACCTCCAGCCTCGGAAACCCTATGGAGCAGTTCTACTCGGTTCTATAAGGTCTCTATGAGTTAGCATCCACTTGATGGTAATGGGTTAGATTTTGCTTTACAACATAAACCAAAAACCCAATTTTCAAGGGGTCCACACAAGTTATTAATAACAAATATTTAATCACAGATGATAAGGGGCTAAGGGTGCCTATAGCAATTGGGCCCAAGTTAAAGGCTCACTGCCACATCTGTGTCGAGCAAAAGTGGTGTGAGTGTTTCCCTGAAGCGAAAGGAAATGCCTTGCCAATCAGAATCCTTTCTTAGATCCGGTCAACACTACTGGTTCTGTTCTGAATGAGATAGGAGGCCCTACAAACTTCCCTCATTTTCTATGATGAGAAAGAGGGCTCAAAAAGAACAAAGGACAGCTAAACAAGCGAAATATCCTGCTTTAAAAAAATACTACTTCTCTACACAACTCTAGAATTTCAAATTGCTTCTGGTTCTTTTGCATGATCATTACTATTAAGCATTTAATGTCATTAAATACACACATGTATCCATAGGCATATATGTCACATATTTAATAACCAGCAAACAGAGACTCACCAGAGCTATTTTTCCTGCTGTTGATATCAAATATACCAGATGGGACTTTCACAATGCTGCTGCTGCCCCACGCAGGAGGCTCAGGAGAACTATGTGGTTCTGGACAAGGTTGTGGATGTTTTGTCACAATAGCAGCACTATCACAAACATCTAGAAAAAAATGTTTAGATGTAACTATTCCCACCTTTGCCAATACTAAACAGAAACCATACAGATTTTTATATATTTTCTCTCTAAGATTTTTTGTGTCTGATTAGCCTTATGCCATAAATATTACCACCAATACTGACTGAGATAAATGCTGTAAGTATGCAATCATCCTAAGCATTCTTGGGTGAATCGATTAAGGCAGAGGTCTTCAGTTATATTCCTCGGCAACTAGAGAAGGTGCTTGTTTCTACATAATTCTAGAGCTTAAGATAAGTGACACCATCAAATAAAGTGAACTTTTGTGCAAAAGAATAGGAAGAAGAGCTTATCACCACATTGCCAAAAAACTCCTTTCTATACAGGGTCGCTATGGGTCGGAACCAATTCAATGTCACTTTAACAACAACAACTTCCTAAGCTGATTACTACATCTTATTAAGTTCCGCGAGTCCTATGAAAACCAGGAAAATCACAGACTATGTTTAACCAACCAATGAAAAACAGGCACTTAGATATTTGAATAACTTCTAGTGAACAAGTATTTTAACATTAAAAACCCACCATCACTGAGTCAATTCCAATTCATAATGAACCTACAGGACAAAGTAGAACTGCCCCTTTGAGTTTCTAAGACTGAAAGTCTTTAAAGAAACAGGCAGCCTCATCTTTCTGTTGCATAGCATCTAGTGGGTTTGAACTGGTGATCTTTGAGTTTAGCAGTCCAACACATAACCCGCTATGCTACCAAAAGACACTTGAATACAAGTAAGATGCCTTCATGGCACAATGCTTAAGCACTTGACTACTCACCAGAAGGTTGGTGGTTTGAACCCACCGGCTGCTCCACTAGAAAAAGATGTGGCCCTCTGCTTTAGCAAAGATTTATAGCTATGGAAACTACAAGCAGTTCTATCTGGTCCTACAGGATCACCATGAGTCTAACTGACTAGACAGTAATGGGCTTTAAGTTTTTTGGCTAAGAATACCAGTTTGCAAGTTTAGCCCTGGTTCTGTCAAAGTAATGATAATGATGTAATTTAACCAAATAAATACCTCATTTTGGTTGCAATTACAGTCTCTAAGAGTCTCTTCACTTGAAATCACCTTTCAAGGTTGCTTTCGATGACAGTACATAGTATATTACAAGCCAGACCTTGTATTTATGAAAGATATCTCCAAAATGATCATGTAAGATGAGCTTTTAATTATTTTTCTAAATAAAGCTAGTAAGCATCAGTACTTAACCTTCTGTTTGCATTTTTGTTTTAGTGGTCAATTCTCTTGCTACTTCTTCAGGGACATGGATTTCTGCATCCTCCTTTATAAGTTCATCCTTAGACCCATAGCCCTGGTCAGACTGACCACCTGTTAAAAATAATGCATATTTATATATAATGTTCTAATACACTTATAATCTACCTGTAAAATAGCAAAAGGAAATTCCATTGATCTACATCACAATTAGGAGAAAAAGAAGAAAGAAAGCCCACAAAGCACACAGAGCATTTTAAACAATGATATGAAGCAAACAACAGTAGAAACAAAAACATCAGAGACTAAAGAACATTACACATTTGGAAGCACTAAATCTCAATTTCCTTATCTGAAATTAAGATATTTGGACAAGATGTTTTGAAAAGTCTCTTTGGGAGAATGTCTACCACATGCTACCTTTTGTGTATGAAAGGAATAGAAAATAAAATAGCATACATGTCTGCTTACTTTAGCAAAAAGAGATGTAGGCATTATAAACCAGAAAATAATAAAACTAGTTACCTACAAGAGATGGAGGAAAATGGAGGAAAAGCCTCAAAGTATGAATTCTTGTATTGCTTTTAATTCTGAGAAATCTATTAATTTCTACGTATGGTACAGTGATTTATTTAATGTCTTTCTAGCCATAGATTTTGTAAATACCGACCAATACCATTTTGCTCTGATGGATCTGCGTAAGAGATGTTGGGAGAAGATACTGACGGGTGACATGATACAGCTGTGGATGTTAACAGAATACACTGTAGCTGTGAAAACCTGGAACTCTAATGTGGGTTTAAAAGAGCCATCTCAGAAGCAGGAGGAGGAAATCTCACACTACTACCAAAAAGAGCGAGCCAGGAGTAGAGCGCATACTTTGGATGCCAAGACTCAGAGACCAAAAGCTCTGAAATCAGAGGAGTGGCAGAGAAGGAGCAGCAACAGAATCAAAAACCAGAGCATCAGACAGAGCAGTGAGCTTCTCAGCCCATGTAGTAAGTAAAGCTGAGTGACCCTGGACAGGAAAATTACTTGTAGAACGGGGTGCTCCAGGCATGTAAGTGGGAGGGCTAGGATTGCTGACCCACAGAGCTAGAGTTGAGTGCCTTCAGGTCGAGGTTTATGGTGGAATGGTGTGTCCTGTGGCACTTATCAGCAGTTGACTGGAACAACTGTGCCCTGAGCATTTTCTGATCCTGTATTGGAACCTCTTTAATTCCCTAGTAAACTCTACAATTCTAAGTATGTTGCCTGAGTTCTATGTGGCCATTGCAATGAAATATCAAACCCAGATGATATCGCGGCAGAAATGGTTGATGGGCCATTTATTATACTATGTTTTTTTGTTTAAATTAACAAAATTGGGGGTGGGAAGCTAAAACTGAATGCAAATAAACACAAGTGAAGCCAACTATATTTCAATGAATAACATAACTACATAGAAAGTGGACTGGTGAGCAGATGAATCCAAGTAATTTGAACTCAGAATTTTGAATTCATAGGGGAATATAAACTAAATTCTGAACTCTTTATTGCTGTTGTTAAGTGTCATCAAGTTGGTACAGATTCATAGCAACCCAATGCACAACAGAACGAAACACTGCCTGGTCCTGGGCCAACCTCACAATTGTTGCCATGGTTGAGCCCACTGATGCTGCCACTTTGCTAATCCATCTCGCTGGGGGACTTCCTCTTTTTCTCTGACCCTCCACCCTACCAAACACCATATCCTTCTCCAGCAACTGGTCCCTCCTGACAATATGTCTGAAATATGATAGACAAAGTTTGGCCATCCTGGCCTCTGAAATCTTTAGGTGGGTTTTTACTCACAGTAAAGTATAGTAATTTTGAAACTTTTTAATGTGTGTTGTACAAATACAAATGAGTAAATGTAATGATTCTCATTATGGAACAAGAGAGATTTTATAAAAAGGAAATCAGGAAAGGTAAGAACCAAACATAAAAACAAACGGCCACCACTTGTGTCTGTCGTGCTGTGGTGATTTGAGTTGCTGTGATTCTGAGGGCTCTGCCACCGGTATTTTAAATAACCAGCAGGGTCACCCATGGTGGACAGGTTTCAGATGAGCTTCCAAACAAAGACAGACTAGGAAGAAAGAGTGACAAATTCTTTCC